TCATACATTAAAACTACCATCATCATGCATACATAATATCATAATTCATCACATGATTTAATAATACATAATTTCATGCCATCATTATTTTCCGCTACTAAAAACTTGCAACATTTGCATACTCTTCATACAAAATAAACTTTAATCAAATTAAAGGATAACACTTTTAGCATGTCAAAGCATAAACAATTTAATCAAAGTCATGGAAATGAACATGCGTGATCATTTCTTAATACATCTCATGCAATAACCATCATCCAAGCATACATTTAGACCCTTTATGGAACAACTTCCAAAACACATTACAAACTCAATTGAATAAAACAAGAATCAAATGAACAAAAACATGAATGACCAAATTTAGCAAGAAAAATTCTATGCACTAATGAAGGCATGCATGAACACTTTTGTCACCATAAATAGTATATATATAAATTAAACATATAATGATTCTAGCATGCTTCAAATTACAAAATAAAATAAATAAATAAACATATGTATACATTTTATGCCATGGCCGATTCTCATTCCAAGGAAAAACAATAAACATTTCATTATCTTATTACTAGGCCAAAACAAGAACATGCATGTCCCTTTCATACATGATGAACAAAAGAACACTTGGAAAATGTCATGTTTGCTTATAAATTGGACATGCAAGGAGCTTTTAGCTCTGATACCATTTGATAAACCCATGACGAGGTGGCAGAAAAATGATGGAAAGCATGTAAACAAGACATGCAAGCTAAGATATGGATTATAGGATTCAAAAATTTTAAATAAAGCACAAATTAACATTATACCTTCTCCTTAAAGCTTAGGTTTGATAAAGCCAAGATTCAAAGCTATGAACCCTCCACACTTTAACACCACCTTGAGAGAAAGAGAGGGTGGCCAAACCTTAGAGAGAGATCTGGTGTTTTTCTTTTAAGTGAACAATGAACAACTTAACCTAAAATGCAACCATATGCATTTATATATACATTGGTCATTTTGTAGTTATTTATTTTTCACTTGCATGCCCTAATAAAATCTTATTCTAAAAAGAGCCCAAGCATTTATTAATTTGGCCTTTGAATAAACAATATTATTTAAGGGCCCATGTAAACTACACTAGTTTACATTAACAACCCGTAAGTTTATCCTTTTGCCCTTTAACTACTAAAAGGTTATTTTAGTTCACCTTATTTATCTTAACGCTTTAAGATATAATAATTAAATACAATTAATTATTGCTTGACCATTTTAACCTTTAAATTGTCATGAACAATTTTCTATGTAACAATTACCATAAAAATCTTGTCATTACCCTTGGAAGGTGCTTGCCCTCTTCGGATAATCATTTCTCTCTCTTATCCTTCTCTAGCTACTCAAGGCTATTGGTGTGACCATATAGGTCTACTATGGATTAGCCGTGAGCCGATTCTGAATGAATCTGGAAACCCGTCCGGACGCCTAACGACTATGGTAAACATCTAGCAATGTGTCATAATCCCTAAACCACAATGAAGAAATACTTCATCAAACCCTTTTCATATGTACCATGCAAGTAAGGTCCTTCCATTGATATATCCTGATCAAGTACGGATTCATGGAATGTCAAAATCCTAAACTCGACTTTCTACCGAATCGTCGATCAATATATCCGAAACTTGTCATCACGAACTTACTTTTGTATGACTAATAATATACTCTATCCAGAGATTTTGGGTTCCAATATTTATTAACGTTTTTCCAAGAATCCAGATCTGGATGGAGTCAGCGGTACTCTTGATCCTATATTTTCGAGTCAATGGATCCCGTCTTGACCATCATTCATTTCCGCATATGAACAACGTATATCATACGAAACATGGCTAGTCTCGTACTTATACACCATATGAATCATACGCATCCATATCGAATCTGACCACCATGTCTCAAGTCAAAGGACTACATCGTGCATTGATATAACCGAACAATAAATCATTGACTACATACTTTTCCAAGTGATTTGTTTTTATTCGGTCACATTCAAAAAACAGTTCACCAACAGCTAATCCATACTAATGCCCCAATGACATGACCATCATCGTCATTCGTACTTATATCAACTCATGATATCTTTCGGAAGCATCCAGTATGCCTACTATGCAATATAGTTGCTCAAATAATATTGCTTCCGTAGGGAACCTTTTGATAAATTCATTTGCCAATTAAATGAATCATCTGGACAATTCATATACATACTTTATTTTAAATGCATAACTGTATAAAGGAAGCAATTTATATATATGAATTGAAGAACTTTTTCTTCTATTATTTATAATATATTGATAGAAGACAAAATGCTTTGAAACTGACAACACGAATGGTTAATTTCTAGGGCATACACTAACAAAAACCAACATCATATAGCGGTCAAATTTGGCTTCAAGAATGAGAGGCGATCATTGACACTGGTGATGCCAGTCTCTACTTTTTTTTTTTTTTTTTTTTTAAAGGGACATGGCCGTTTAAAATGACACAGGGTAGCCCATGTTCTATTATACTCAAAATTGTCTTCTTCTTTGATCACTCAAGCTTCCCCCAAACTCATTCCTTGTTCTGACGATAACGAAACAAAATTGACAACTGAATCAAAATGCATCAAAGAAAAAATGATTATTATTAAAAAAATGCAAAAATATAAAAGAAAAATAAAATAAATAAAATAAAATAAAATAAAGTTCTAATTTAAAGTCGTTAGCTTGACTTTCTGCGCTTGCTTATTCTGGATCATTCAGTGCAATTGAGATCTTATATTTTTTCTAATCCTCCATCTTCATGATACTTGAGACGTTGTCCATTCACCTTGAATGTGCCTTTCTCCTTATAGGAAATCTCAATGGCGCCAGAAGGAAACACTTTGGTGACCGTGAAGGGTCCTAACCATCTGGACCTTAACTTACCTAGAAAAAGTCTTAGTCTAGAATTATAGAGCAACACCATTCCCCCTTAGACGAACTCTTTTATTTTTATTTGCTTGTCATGCCATTTTTTTGTTCTCTCTTTGTAGATCTTTGCATTCTCATAAGCTTGACTCCAAAACTAATCCATCTCATTCAATTGAAGCAACTTGTTTTCACCTACAGCTTGCATATCAAAGTTAAGAAATTTTGTAGCCCAATATGCACAATGCTCAAGTTCAATAGGGAGATGGCATGCTTTTCCAAAAACTAGTCTATATAGGGACATACCAATAGGGGTTTTAAAAGTTGTTCTATATGCCCACAATGCATCATCCAATCACAAAGACTAGTCTTTTCTAAAGGTAACGGTTTTTTTCTAAAATTCGTTTCAGTTCCCTATTAGATACCTCTACTTGATCACTAGTCTGTGGGTGATAAGGAGTGGCAACCTTACATGTGATACCATATTTGTTCAAAAGATTATCAAACTGTTTACTGCAAAAATGTGTCCCACCATCACTAATAATTGCCCTAGGGGTAACAAATCTAGTAAAAATATGTTTCTTCAAAAATTTAACAACCACCCTAGCATCATTTGTTCTAAATGCCTCAGCTTCCACCCACTTAGAAACATAGTCAACTGCCACAAGGATGTATTTATTAGAAAATGAATTAGGAAAAGGTCTCATAAAATCTATCCCCCAAACATCAAATAATTCACATTCAATAATATTGTTCAAGGGCATCTCATGTTTCCTAGCTATATTCCCTGTTCTTTGGCACCTATCACAAGACGCTACATAAGCATACGCATCCTTAAACAATGTAGGCTGGTAAAAACCTGCTTGTAGTACCTTTATAGCTGTCTTAGTTGCCCCAAAGTGGCCATCTACCTCTCTGTCATGGCAGTGATGTAAAATGGATGTCATCTCCTCCTCAGGCACATATCATCGAATACTCTGATCTACACAAACTTTGAACAAATATGGTTCTTTCCACAAAGAATGCTTAACATCAGACAAATTTCTTTTGTTGATAAAAAGTAAGATTTAAAAGAAGAACACCTGTGACAATATAATTTGCATACTGTGCATACCATGGAATAGACGCATTTAAAATGGCAAATAATTGTTCATTAGGAAACTCCTCTCTTATTGGCATTTCATCTCATTCTTTAGGATTTGTGTCCTCTATCTTACATAAATGGTCAACAACGACATTCTGTACACCTTTTTTATCCCTAATTTCTAGGTCAAATTCTTGTAACAACAAAATCCATCTAATTAACCCAAGTTTGACATCTTTCTTACCAAGTAAACATCTCAAGGCAAAATGGTCAGTGTAGATAATTAATTTACTTAAAACAAGGTATGAATGAAATTTGTCGAATGCAAGTACTATTGCTAGAAGTTCCTTTTCAGTGATTGCATAATTTTGTTGAGCCACATTAAGTTCCAACTAGCATAGTATATAGTTTGGAATACCTTGTCTTTTCTCTGACCGAGGATGGAACTAATAGCTACATCACTAGCATTGCACATCAGTTCAAATGACAAACTCCAATCAAGTGCCACCATAATTGGTGTTGTGACAAGCTTCTCCTTCAGAGTGAGGAAGGCCTGCAAACATTCAACATTAAAATCAAAAGGAGTATGTAAAACCCCTCCCTAGCCGGGTATTTCCTAAGTATCCCTTGGCCATTGAGAACCTAGAAAACGCACGCCTAGGAAAGAAGTTTATTTTAAAATCCTATTTAAAGAATAAACTTGTAGTTTAAAATATATATATAGATATATGTGTTTAATTTTTTTTTTTTTTTTTAACTATAATGAGTTCATTGTATAATCAAGAAAATATAATTTCCTTTCTTGGAGTAAATTATGAAATCCATAGTAATACTTACTAGAACATACACACTTTTATAAAATTTACTATCAATTTGATTTCTTTTATTAACACAAACATATATACTCCATAATAACATGGACATATTTACTGCATTATGAGATATAAACATAATTACTACACTAAATACTAGCAAAACCATTCAAAAGTCATAATTAAAACATCCCTTCATGCTCATAGCGTCCCTCGGAATCCTCTCCCAGCTTCATGCCTTAATCCTTACCTGCAAAACATTTTAAAACATTTCGTGGGGTGAGCGCTAATCGCTCAGTAAGGAATATGGCCATTTATAAACTATTAAGGTTCATTATACATCATTTTACAAGTATATTACTTAGGACCTTACCTACCTACAAAATATGACCTTCATTCTTTAACATAACAAGTTCATAAAACATATCATACACTTTGGACTTTTCTCATAAACATAAGTCATAACATAATCATACATAATATAACATAGAACATATATGACTTATGAAATATTCATGTACATGGCATGCTTATTTCTTTTGTCTTTATACTTGATGGTTTCATTAGTCTTTGTTATCCGATCGGATTCATTTAAACCATTACCTTGTTCTTGGTCGTCACCTCAAAGGACTCATGGTTTCCATAAGAATTCCATTCCTCTGATCTTGGTTTATACCTCAAGAGACTCATGGAATTCATTCTTTAACATTTCATAAATTTTTCATAAGACAACTAAATAAGCTATATGCATTACCATTATGAATGCAAACATATGGACTAACATATTCCATGCTCAATCATACTATATTCTCCTACTAAACTTCTTAACTTAATTCATTCAATTTCTCATACAATACAAAGAATTTCAGTAGTAAGATTATTCAGGGGTTTATTAGAATTAGAAACAAATGGGAATTTCCATTAAGAAGGTGGATGCCATACAGTTCGTTACTTTCAAGCAATTTTCCATTATCTTCTAATTCGAATTTATTTTTGGCTAAAACATAAAAGTTTTAGGTCTGTTTCTCAACTTTTTAACACTTCAAGAATCAACTCAATCGGACTTCTATAACTTCAGTTATGACTGATTCAGTGAAGCATGTACAGTATAAGTCTCAAAAAGCCAAATCCGAATTCTATTCATTTTAACCATGTCACCTTCATTTGCACATTCATATCATTTGCCATATCATTCTTAGTATAAAAGGCCATAAAAACCTCCCTTTTTACAGAACCAAAAAGTGCCAAAACATCGTCCAACTACAAATCTCTTAATTGGCATAATCATCCTCCACATGCACACATACACCAATCAACACACCCATTTAAACAATCCATAACCAAAACATAGCATCACACTCATATTAACATAAATAAATGTAAGTTTCATAAACCCTAGGTGTTATCAATTGTAGTCATAAGGGAGATTTTTTCCTTACCTTAGTATTCAAAGCACAAAGGTACTCCTCCTTGGCTCCAAAGTTTCACCTTTCTACCTTACACACACAACCACTTATGAATTTCTCTTTTAACCAAAAAATTCAGAAAAACTAGGGTTTTGAAACTCACCTTTAACCCTGAAATTGAAGTTCTTTAAGGGTGGATGGTGATCTCCTTTGAAAATCAACTTGAAATCCTAAGAAAATTTGAGAATAAAAGCTTGGATTAGTGGCTTTTATGGTGGATTTGAGAGATGAAGAAGAAGATGATATATTTGGGGTCTCCAAGGCCGACTACTCTCTTTTTAAACCTTGTAAATATTCATTCCATTGATACTCTAATGTGATTGGTCAATAAAAGTTAGATATAAAGGTCATTTGGCATAAATTTTTCATATAAGGGCGTTTTGGTCATTTCTACCACAACATAAAGATAAGTACTCATTTAATGCCATTTGACTTCTTTGAAACACTTATCCATTAAGCAATCCCATTAGGTGAATGACTAATTTACCCTTGGTGCACTTTTATGGACACTTAATCATATGGTTTTGTATGAAAAGACCATTATACCCTTGGTTACCGTTTATGCCATTTAACCTTATCAATCAACTTTATAACCATTCTACCCTCATTTCTCTTCAATGACATCATCCTTTACACTTTATAACGGCCACATCTCGAAATACATGTAAATTGACCATTTTACCCTTCCATTCAAAAAAAGAAAATTACTTGAAAAGGTAAATTTCATACCTTAGGGCATCGGAATAATAACGTGGGGTTTACAATCATCCCCCCCTTAGAAGAATTTCGTCCTCGAAATTCAGTTGAAGAGGTCTGGATATCTTTCCTTCATATCTTGCTCAACCTCCCATGTCGCTTCTTCTACATTATGATTCCTCCACAATATTTTAACAAGCGGTACTTTCTTATTTCGAAGCTCTTTTATTCGTCTATCCAGAATCTGAACTGGACGTTCTTCATAAATTAGTTCATCTTTTAACTCCACTTCATTTGCTTGTAATATATGCGAAGGATCACTAACATACTTTCGCAATAGGGAAACATGGAAAACATTATGGATCCGATCCATACTAGCTGGTAAGGCAAGTCTGTAAGCTACTTTGCCCACTTTCTCTAATACCTCATATGGACCGATATATCTAGGGGCGAGCTTCCCTTTTCTTCCAAACCTCATCACCCTTTTATAAGGAGAGATTTTCACAAACACCTTGTCTCCTATTTGGAATTCTATATCCTTTCTTTTTGGGTCTGCATAGCTCTTCTGTCTGTCTTGGGCCTGCTTCATTCTCTCTCGAATTAACTTTACATCTTCTATCATTTTTTGTGTCATTTCTGGACCAAGAGCTTGAGTCAATGCATTCTTTTCTCCTATTTCGTCCCAATGTAATGGAGATCTACATTTCCTTCCATACAAGGCTTCATATGGTGCCATTTTAATGGTTGCTTGATAACTATTGTTATAAGCGAATTCAACTAGAGGGAGAATGTCACACCAATTCAACTTATGGTCAATACAGCATGCCCGTAACATATCCTCCAATATTTGATTCGTTCTTTCTGTCTGTCCATCTGTCTGAGGATGATAGGCTGTGCTGAAATTAAGCCTAGTACCCAATGCCTTCTGCATGCTACTCCAGAATACTGACATAAATTTCACATCCCTGTCTGAGACAATACTATTAGGTACTCCATGTAATCTTACTATTTCTTTAACATATAATCGGCCTAGCTGATCAGAGGAGATCTTGTCTGTAACTGGAATGAAATGAGCAGATTTAGTCAATCTATCTACAATCACCCAAATGGCATTATAACCCCTTTGCACTTTAGGAAGACCTAAAATGAAATCCATAGAAATATCTTCCCATTTCCACGAAGGAATACTAAGGGGCTGCAACAATCCTGAAGGGCGCTGATGTTCTGCTTTAACCTGCTGACACACCAGGCATCTGGTAACATACTCAGTTACATCCTTCTTTAACCCTGGCCACCAATAGCTCTTCCTCAAATCCTGATACATCTTTACACTCCCTGGATGAGCAGTGTAAAGAGTACTATGTGCTTCCTCTAAAATCTTCTTTCTTAGCTCAATATCCTGAGGAACATACACTCTATCTCTAAATTTTAGGATTCCATTCACCCATTTGAATTCTAATTCTCTGCCATCTTTCAACTGTTGCTCAATTCCTTTAATAAGCCCATCATCTGTTTGTTTTTCTCTAATTTCCTCCAACAACTTAGACTGAACTTCAATTTTGGATAATTTCCCAAACTCCAACTCTATCCCCTCTTTCATTATCTCTTGTTGCAGGTGTTTCTGAAAAGTTAATTGAGCTAAAGAGACTTTCCTGCTGAGGGCATCTGCAACTACATTAGCTTTCCCTGGCTGATACATAATATCACATTCATAGTCCTTCACCAGCTCAAGCCATCTTCTCTGCCTCATATTCAATTCTTTCTGGGTGAAAAAGTATTTTAGACTTTTGTGATCTGTGTAAATATTACATTTCACCCCAAAGAGATAATGTCTCCAAATCTTCAAAGCAAAAACGACAGCTGCTAATTCAAGATCATGAGTGGGATACCTCTTTTCATAGTCTTTCAATTGACGAGAGGCATAAGCAATCACCTTGCCTTTTTGCATCAATACTGCCCCCAAACCGTTATGAGAAGCATCAGTATAAATATCATAATCTACTCCATCCTCTGGAAGTGTTAAAATAGGAGCAGTAGTTAATCTTCTTTTCAATTCTTGGAAACTCTTCTCACAGGTTTCAGTCCATCTGAACGGGGCTTCCTTTTTGGTCAGAGCTGTGAGTGGAGAAGCTAACTTAGCAAAGCCTTCCACAAATTTCCTGTAATATCCTGCTAAACCAAGAAAACTTCTAACTTCTTTTACAGTCTTTGGTCTTGGCCATTCAATCACTGCTTCAATCTTACTAGGGTCCACTGAAATACCCTTTTGTGAAACAACATGTCCCAAGAATGTTACTTGATCCAACCAAAACTCACATTTGGAGAACTTAGCATATAACTTTTTCTCCCTTAGTCTTTGTAGCACAAATCTCAAATGCTCTTCATGATCTTCCTTTGTTTTGGAATAGACCAGGATATCATCTATAAAAATTACTAGAAATTTATCCAAACAATCATGGAAAATCCTATTCATCAAATCCATGAATACCGCTGGTGCATTAGTCAATCCAAATGGCATCACTATAAATTCATAATGCCCATATCTGGTTCGAAATGCAGTCTTGGGAATATCCTTGTCAGCGACCCTCACTTGATGGTAGCCTGACCGAAGATCAATCTTGGAAAACACCGAAGCTCCCTTTAACTGATCAAACAAGTCATCAATTCTTGGTAATGGATACTTGTTTTTCACCGTCACCTTATTGAGCTCCCTGTAATCAATACACATTCTCATCGAACCATCTTTTTTCTTCACAAATAAAATAGGAGCTCCCCATGGAGAATGACTAGGTCGAATGAAACCTTTATCTAACAACTCCTGAAGCTGCTTCTTTAACTCTTGTAACTCTGCTGGAGCCATTCTATACGGGGCTTTAGATATTGGTGCCGTACCAGGAGCTAATTCTATACAAAATTCCACTTCCCTTTCTGGAGGAAGTCCTGGCAAATCTTCTGGAAAAACATCTTCGAATTCTCGTACTATGGGTACATCCCGAACACTGAAGTCTGGAAACTTTTCTTTATTCACCACATTAGCTATGTACCCTGCACAACCCTTCCTTATCATCTTCATTGCCTTCACTGCACTTATCATCAGGCTGTGTAGATGACCTTCCCCAAAGGTGAAACTGTCTCCAGCATCTAAGTTAAACCTGGCCTTCTTCTTCCGACAATCTATCAATACTCCATATTTGCTCAGGAAGTCCATTCCCAAAATCATATCAAAATCAGGCATATCAAAAACAATCAAATCAACATTCAACTCATGCCCATCAATCACTATAGTTTCCCCCATTAACAACTTATCAGCAAAATAATTCTCCCCATTAGGCATCTCGATTTTAACAGCATGTTCCACTTTACAAGGCTCTAAACCTAGTCTTTTTATAATACCATATGAGATAAAAGAATGGGTAGCCCCAGAATCAATCAGTACATATAAAGAGGTAGAGTGGAATTGTAACTGACCAGTAACTGCAGATGGATTGGCTTCAGCTTCTTTCTGAGCCACTGAGTAAACTCTGGCAGTCGAACCTCCAACAGTCTGAAGGGAAGTAGCTTGAGTAACTTTACAGTCCTTTGCCATGTGTCCCGGTTGTTTACATTTGAAACACACATTGGTTCCTAATAGACAATTCCCTTTATGCTGCCTCCCACATTTTTGACAATGGGGAAGATTATTCCTTCTCTGTTGTTGCTGTGAAGTCCTCTTATTCTTGCCACCCTTCTTTTGAAATCCTTGCTGAAACTTTCTTTTACCTTTGTCCTCTGAGGCCTGAGTGGAATTCCCCACTTCAACTTTCTGAACTGCTGTCTGGCCTGAACTAGAACTACCAATCACCAACTTGGGGTTCTCCATCCGCCTCTCCTTATTCACATAAATCTCCGCCCTCAATGCCCGTTCCAAGGCCTCACTATAAGTCTGAGGAGGTTGACCACCCGCTATAACAATCTGGGCAATTTTTGGGTGTAGTCCATTAATAAATCTCTCTAACCGGCACTGTTGAGTACTCACCATAGTAGGAGCAAAACGGGCTAAGGAGTTGAACATTGTAGCATACTCTCTAACAGTCATATTACCCTGCTTCAATTCCGTGAACTCTTGAGTCTTCACGGATAACATGTCTGCCGACCGATATTCTGCTTCAAATAGCCTTTTAAATTCATTCCAGGAAAGATTACTCGTCACATAGGTATGCTCCATTAGCTTCCACCATACCCGAGCATCTCCTCTCAACAAATAGGAAGCATAGCGGACTTTTTCCTGATCACTCATGGGAAACAAGGCCATTGCCCGTTCAACAGTCTCTAGCCACTCCTCTGTTACCGCCGGATCGTTTGAACCACTGAACTCTGGAGGTTGGTGCTTTTGAGAAAGATTATAGATTGGTTCTACTTGTCCAGAAGGTGTAGCACCCATCGGCATAACTGGTCCAGTTACTGGAGGTGGAACTGGTATTTGGAGCTGTGGCTGAACTACTGGAGCTGAGGGATTTGTGTTCACTTGGTTACTTATACCCTCCGGGATCACCCTCCTAAAGGCCTCAGTAATGGCTGTCTGAATCATCCTGTTGATTGCAGCCTCATCCAAAACAGAAGCATTTTGGGCAGACGTAGCTGGTCCACTATTAGGGGGCACACTGGTAGTCGGTGCTACTGGCTCACTAGTGCCTGCTTCATTAATATTCTCCTCGCCCCTCCTATTAACCTTTCGTGGACGCCTCGTAGCCATACCCTTTACTCACACAAATTTCAATCAACATTAGCTAAGTCTATTCACTAAACAAGTAAAGAAAATACTTACAGCAATCGGCTGGAGAGAGTATCTTGGGGACGCATGAGGAATGATACTTCCATTACTTATAAACACCATTTCCAGCATCAATTAAATATAAAATCCTATAACAATTTAATCAAAACATCATTTCGAACGCCCAAAATCACGCTCTGATACCAAATGTAAAACCCCTCCCTAGCCGGGTATTTCCTAAGTATCCCTTGGCCATTGAGAACCTAGAAAACGCACGCCTAGGAAAGAAGTTTATTTTAAAATCCTATTTAAAGAATAAACTTGTAGTTTAAAACATATATATAGATATATGTGTTTAATTTTTTTCTTAACTATAATAAGTTCATTGTATAATCAAAAAATATAATTTCCTTTCTTGGAGTAAATTATGAAATCCATAGTAATACTTACTAGAACATACACACTTTTATAAAATTTACTAGCAATTTGATTTCCTTTATTAATACAACATATTTACTCCATTATAGAACATGGACATAATTACTACATTATGAGATATGAACATAATTACTATACTAAATATTAGCAAAACCATTCAATAGTCATCATTAAAGCATCCCCTCATGCTCATAGCGTCCCTTGGAATTCTCTCCCAGCTTCATGCCTTAATCCGTACCTGCAAAACATTTTAAAACATTTCGTGGGGTGAGCGCTAATCGCTCAGTAAGGAATATGGCCATTTATAAACAATTAAGGTTCATTATACAAGTATATTACTTAGGACCTTACCTACCTACAAAATATGACCTTCATTCTTTAACATAACAAGTTCATAAAACATATCATACACTTTGGACTTTTCTCATAAACATAAGTCATAACATAATCATACATAATATAACATAGAACATATATGACTTATGAAATATTCATGTACATGGCATGCTTATTTCTTTTGTCTTTATACTTGATGGTTTCATTAGTCTTTGTTATCCGATCGGATTCATTTAAACCATTACCTTGTTCTTGGTCGTCACCTCAAAGGACTCATGGTTTCCATAAGAATTCCATTCCTCTGATCTTGGTTTATACCTCAAGAGACTCATGGAATTCATTCTTTAACATTTCATAAATTTTTCATAAGACAACTAAATAAGCTATATGCATTACCATTATGAATGCAAACATATGGACTAACATATTCCATGCTCAATCATACTATATTCTCCTACTAAACTTCTTAACTTAATTCATTCAATTTCTCATACAATACAAAGAATTTCAGTAGTAAGATTATTCAGGGGTTTATTAGAATTAGAAACAAATGGGAATTTCCATTAAGAAGGTGGATGCCATACAGTTCGTTACTTTCAAGAAATTTTCCATTATCTTCTAATTCGAATTTATTTTTGGCTAAAACATAAAAGTTTTAGGTCTGTTTCTCAACTTTTTAACACTTCAAGAATCAACTCAATCGGACTTCTATAACTTCAGTTATGACTGATTCAGTGAAGCATGTACAGTATAAGTCTTAAAACAGCCAAATCCGAATTCTATTCATTTTAACCATGTCACCTTCATTTGCACATTCATATTATTTGCCATATCATTCTAAGTATAAAAGGCCATAAAAACCTCCCTTTTTACAGAACCAAAAAGTGCCAAAACATCGTCCAACTACAAATCTCTTAATTGGCATAATCATCCTCCATATGCACACATACACCAATCAACACACCCATTTAAACAACTCATAACCAAAACATAGCATCACACTCATATTAACATAAATAAATGTAAGTTTCATAAACCCTAGGTGTTATCAATTGTAGTCATAAGGGAGTTTTTTTCCTTACCTTAGTATTCAAAGCACAAAGGTACTCCTCCTTGGCTCCAAAGTTTCACCTTTCTACCTTACACACATAACCACTTATGAATTTCTCTTTTAACTAAAAAATTCAGAAAAACTAGGGTTTTGAAACTCACCTTTAACCCTGAAATTGAAGTTCTTTAAGGGTGGATGGTGATCTCCTTTAAAAATCAACTTGAAATCCTAAGAAAATTTGAGAATAAAAGCTTGGATTAGTGGCTTTTATGGTGGATTTGAGAGATGAAGAAGAAGATGATATATTTGGGGTCTCCAAGGCCGACTACTCTCTCTTTAAACCTTGTAAATATTCATTCCATTGATACTCTAATGTGATTGGTCAATAAAAGTTAGATATAAAGGTCATTTGGCATAAATTTTTCATATAAGGGCGTTTTGGTCATTTCTACCACAACATAAAGATAAGTACTCATTTAATGCCATTTGACTTCTTTAAAACACTTAACCATTAAGTAATTTTATTAGGTAAATGACTAATTTACCCTTGGTGCACTTTTATGGACACTTAAATCATATGGTTTTGTATGAAAAGACCATTATACCCTTGGTTACCGTTTATGCCATTTAACCTTATCAATCAACTTTATAACCATTCTACCCTCATTTCTCTTCAATGACATCATCCTTTACACTTTATAATGGCCACATCTCGAAATACATGTAAATTGACCATTTTACCCTTCCATTCAAAAAAAGAAAATTACTTGAAAAGGTAAATTTCATACCTTAGGGCATCGGAATAATAACGTGGGGTTTACAGAGTATCTTCAATTAATAAATTAGATAGAGGCTTTGAAATTTTAGAAAAATCTTTAATAAATCATCTGTAAAATCCTACATATCCAAGGAAACTCCTCACGACCTTCACTAATGTAGGTGAGGGTAATTTTTCAATCACTTCCTCCTTTGCTGTATCCACTTCAATCCCCTTTTGGGAGATTTTATGAACCAAAACTATTCCTTCTTGCACTATAAAATGACACTTCTCCCAATTTAAAACTAGGTTAGTGTCTTCACATCTTTGCAAAATTAAAGCCAAATTATTCAAACATGCATCGAAAGAGGAACCAAGAACTAAAAAATCATCCAAAAATTTCCAAAAATTCCTCTACCATATCATGAAAAATGGACATCATGCATCTTTGAAAAGTGGCAGGTGCATTGCATAAACCAAAAGGCATCCTCCTAAATGCAAATGTGTTATAAGGACAAGTGAGAGTGGTTTTCTCCTAATCCTCTGGAGCTATAGCTATTTGGATATACCCAAAATGCCCATCAAGAAAACAATAAAACTCATGCCTAGCAAGTCTCTCTAACATTTGATCAATGAAGGGTAAAAGGAAGTGGTCTTTCCTGATGGCATCATTTAATTTTCTATAATCTATGCACACTCTCCAACCTATACTATCCTAGTAGGTATCAATTCATTATTTTTATTTTTCACCACAATAATACCTCCTTTTTTCAATACTATTTAAACAGGACTTACCCATGAACTATTTGAGATACGGTAGATAATACCTGCATCAAGTAGTTTAATCACCTCTTTCTTTACCATTATTTGCATGCTCAGGTTGAGTCTCCTCTGAAGCTGAACTATCAGCTTGTAGCTATCTTCCATGAGAATTCTGTGCATGCAAATAAAAGGACTTGTTCCCTTTATGTCAGCTATTGTCCAGCCAAATGCTCCTTTATGCTCCTTCAACACCCTTAATAATTTCGCTTCCATCAAACCAGTTAAAGAAGATGAAATAATAATAGGTAAAGAAGAAGACTCATCAAGAAATACATATTTGAAATGAGTAGGTAAGGGTTTCAATTCAAGATTTGGTGGCTCTTCAATTGAGGGCTTTATTCGAGACAATATTGCCCTTTCTAATGTTTCAAATTTTTGTCACATGACCCTTTTATTTGGTGGATTGGCTTCAAACTTGCTACAATCTCAATTAAGTGCTTATTCTCCCCTCCATCTTCTTTTGAATCAACCAAGCAAGCTTCCAATGGATCTTCATACCTGTTATCTTGAAAATACTCACGAACCAAAGGATCAAAAGCATCGATTCTAAAGCACGTGTTATCTTCTAAAGGGAGCTTCATAGTTTTAAAAACATCAAACATTACTTTTTCATCTCTTACCCTACGAATTAACTCACCTCTTTGCACATCAATCAATGTCTTACCTATGGCTAAAAATGGTTGCCCTAGAATGAAAAGTATCTCAACATCTTCTTCCATATCCAACACAAGAAAATCTACAGGAAAAATAAACTTATCTACCTTGACAAGCATGTCCTCCATAATACCTCTTAGATATTTAATTGATCTGTAAGCCAGCTGTAGAGATACTGTGGTGGCCCTTGGTTCTCCAAGTCTCAATTTCCTGAAAACAGATAAAGGCATTAGATTAATGCTAGCACCTAAATCACATAAAGCTTTAGAAAATGAAAGTGAACTAATAATGCAAGGTATTGAAAAACTCCCTAGATCTTTTAATTTTGGTGCAATTTTTTTTGCAAAATTGTTGAACATTCTTTAGTGAGTTTTACTATTTCTTGCTCTTCTAGTTTTCTCTTGTTGGAAAGGATCTCCTTCAAGAACTTTGCATAGCTGGACATCTGAAGAAGAGCATCTGCAAAAGGAATATTAATATGCCATTTCCTAAAAATATCTAAAAATTTTGCAAATTGCTGACCAACTTTTTGATTCTTCAACGCAAGAAGGAAACGAGGCTAAATCTCTATCTTCTTAGGTTCAAGCAACTTTTCAGCAATGTTGTCTGGTTGCACTTTAGGTGCTTCCTTTTTCTCTTGCTCTTTATGCCCAATTTCTTTGCCACTCTTTAGTGTAACTGCCTTCACATGCTCCTTCAGATTCTTCTCTGTGTCACTAGGAAATGTTCATTGAGCTTTCTCCGACATCAAATTCGCCAATTGCCCCATCTAAGTCTCCAAATTTCTGATCAAAGCTTATTGATTTTGAAATTTTGTTTCAGTTGAGCTTACAAACTTCGTCATTAGTTCCTCAAAATTGGGCTTCTTTTCTTAAGGAGGAAAACCCGAAGGTGGAGTTTGACTAATTTTGATTGCTCCGTGAAAAATTCGAGTGATTCTACCAACCAGGGTTGTAAGTACTGGAGTAAGGATTATTTTGTTGTTGCCTGTGAAAATTACCAACAGAATTAGTACTTTTAACAGAATTAGCAAATGGATTACCTACCTAACATTCATTGCTACGATGGTCTCCTCCATATAGATCACAACTCATGCTCTTCACTTGCATGACTGGGGCACTCATATTATCAATCTTTTTGTTCAATGCTTCTAGTTGAGCAGAAATTACTGTAATTGAATCCACTCCATATAATCCCGCAGCCTTCCTTTGTGGCACTCTGTCAGACTGCCACTGGTAACTGTTTGAAGCCATCTCATCCAATAATTCATATGCTGCATCTGGTCTCTTCTTTATTAAAGTGCCTCTTGAAGCTACATCAATCATAAAACAGTTAGCAAGAATTAAACCATTATAAAAAGTTTGTACCTGTAACCAAACTGGTAATCCATGATGCGAGCATTTCCTCAACAACTCTCTATAACACTCTCATGCTTCGTATAACGACTTTCCATCTACATGCATAAAATTAGTGATATCGTTACGCATCCTTGCAGTTTTAGAGGGAGGAAAATACTTAGCTAGAAAACACTGAGCCAATGCATCACAAGTTGTAATAGATTTTGCAGGTAAAGAATTTAGCCAAATCTTGGCTTTACCTCTTAATGAAAAAGGGAACAGTCTCAATCTAATTGCATTGTCTGTGACACCATTCTACTTGAGTGTATCACATATCTCCAAGAAACTTCCAATGTGAGCATTTGGATCATCATGGGCTAAACCACTGACTTGGCAGGCTGACTAAATCATCTAAATAATCATAGATTTAATTTTGAAGTTATTTGTTGCAATGGCTAGCCTCCTAATGTTGGAAGCAGTGCCATCTAATGATGACATCGCATAATCCATTAAAGAACGTGGGGCTATAGCTTCTACGAGATCCTCCAAAATCACTTGATTATTATTGTTGTTGTCGTCTGTCATGTTCCTTGCTTGCCTTCTTTTTAAGGCTTGTATTGGTCTCTTAATTTATGGGTCAAAAGGTTCAAGAATCTCTAATCTTCGTCTAGTGTGTCATACACTAAAAAATCTGAAAACAAGAGAACTTGAAAAAAAAATTATATATATATAATGGAACAAGCTCTTAAGTAAAGCTAAACTAGTGATTTCAATATTGCCTAACTGCAATCCTTGGCAATGGTGCCAAAAACTTGTTGTGTCATTTGAAACAACTACTAGCAAGTGCACTAGTCTCAAGTAATATAGTGTAACAAAGTATAGGTTATCCTACCCAAGGGATTGCATAAACAAATACTGAAATGTTAATTAATCTTAACTTTATCTAGCTAATCAAAACTTAGAATGGTGATCTTTAAAACTAAAAATATTAACAGCTAAAATATTAGAAATGAACAATTGCAAGAAAACTAAACTTAAGACTTCAATGAGAGAAAACTGCTAAGACTTCAAGCTCATCTATAACTTCTCTACACCCCTCAATTTACTATGGTTAATGAAATTATTTAACTAATGTAACAACGGGATTTCCTAGGTTAACTAATATTCTTTCTCAAGCAATATTAATTCTACTTCTATCTCACAACCTAGATATTTATATGTAGATTCAAGGAAACAGACGAGCATTAAGCTTTATGAAATCCTCTAGCTTTCAGCACAAGTTAATCATGCCTATGATTATTGCATGTATCAATTCATATATCTCTATATCCAATTAATCCATAGCCTATATCACTAGAGCACTTATGTGATATCTCCTCTCAGTCTCAATCACACAAAATAATTCTATCATAAATTGATCAGGTTCTTAATAGCATTAAGCACATAATATAAGCTCATCATTAGAAAATAATTCAATAACCATAAAGCAAACAATTGATCACAGATCCATAAATAGACTAGCCCTAGTCTTAGCTTGAGAAAACTATTTCATAGTAAAAGAAATAAGAGTAGAATTCAAGAAATAAATCATATTGAAAAAGTAAAGACAAACTCTGTGATAAATTTCGTTCTTGATTCTCCTTTTTCTTTTGTTACACAATAATCCCTCTCCAAAAATAGGCAAAATTCGGCCCTCTAACAAGTAATCTCAGCCACACTTAAATACCCAAGAAAGTCCCAAGCAAACAAGGAAAGAAAAACTAAAAAAAAAAACCCTAAAAGTGTCCGACACGGCCCTGGCTATGTCCCAATTTACGTCACCACGGCCTAGGCCATGGTGCTTCCTGTCCTCGATATTTTATCCTCATTCCACCACCATGGCCATGGTGAACCACCAAGGCATGGCCATGACCTTAAAATTGTCAACTAATCTCAATTTCTTCAAGCTTTGAATTCTAATTTCATTCCAATGCTCCAATCTACTCAATGTAATAGTTCTCTCTAGCTAGTATACTTGGGAAATATATAAAGTGAAACTCACTAAACATATTATAGAAAATATATATGTACATAAATATAAGGCAGTGGGTCCAATATAACTTTACTTTCATATACTTTCATATATAGATTTCTACATCAAGTAACAATATCACACAAAAATAAATTTGACAGTGTTGCCAAACCTTTCCATTTCTTGACGTTCCCACCGACCCCTTCTCATCTACTACCTGCAAAAACATTGAAAACAATGGGGTGAGCACTAATGGCTCAGTAAGTAAACCCACTATGCTACTCCTCTATCTCCGTTGGTCATATTCTGGTTTTCTTTCCTCACATCAAACTTTTCTATTCTTCTCTGCTCTTTCTAAAATTCTGGTTTCTCACTTACTCAGGATAGTGGGAATGGTATCAAGCATAGGTATAATGCATATGCACAAATGCATAAGATATGCATTTTCTTTTCAGTTTCTCTGTTTTCTTATTATGTTTTCTATTTCTTTTTCTATCTCTCTTCTTTTTTTGTTTTTTCTTTCTTTCTTTCCTACTCTCTTTTTCTTTCATTCATTCTTTCTATCCTTTCTTTCTATTGTTTCCTTCTATTTGTTTTTTCTATTCTTTCTTTCTTTTCTATTCTTTCTTGCCGATTGCACTCGGTTGAGGCATGAATTCAGAACCTTAGCCGTGTAAGTGTATTCTCAAATTCTTTTTGGGTACAGTCCTCATCCACATGCACTTCTAACAGACTGTACAATTCTTCTTTCTTATTCTGAGGCCACTCACTAAAGGCGGCATGCATGTGGGGCTAATCACTCACAGGTTTCCCATCGCAACAACCTTCTCTTCTCTTCTTTAAAAGTGTTCTTTAATAGGTTTCTTTCTTTCTCTTTGTTCTTTAATGTTCTTTAATGCTCTTATAAGTATGTATGTATGTAGATGGGCTTATGCTTGTTATTCTTTCTAAATTCACATGTTTAGATGTAAAAATGCAATATGGCATGTGAACATGTCATTCTCTACCATCCACAAACTCATATCAAGATAACAAGTAATCATATTCATGCATGCACTTCTCTTTGACATTTCATCAAACAATTGGTGTGCACACACACACTCTAAATTGGCTACACTACTATATCTCTCTCAAGCCACCAATATTTGGAGCAAAACTCCCTAAAATCAACATCAAACCTGGCCAGGAAATCACACTCCATAATTCTACTCAAACTCTTTCATAATTCATCCAACCTTCCACACTCCATAATTCTACTCAAACTCTTTCATAATTCATCCAACCTTTCACCAAACACCATATACCCAAACCCTATTTCTCATGGTTGAATTCTAGCCATCAATCAACATTAATTCCATCAACAATTCTCAACATATAAACATATAAACACATACATACATATATAAATTTCTCTTCACAGTTATTGCACAACATAGCTAGGGTTGGGTTTACTTACTTTAGATGTGAGCAAGCCAAACACTTTAGTCTTCCTTTGATAAAACTCTCTTTCTCTTAAACCCTATGAATATAAATCATAAGAATTCAACACTTTAAAAATTTAATCTCACATCTTAGTGCAAGAATCTTACATAGGGATGCTTAGGATTGAAATTCCACCAAAATTAAACCAAACTCTATGACTTTCCTTGGAAATTGTTGAAGAAATTTGAGAGAATTTGGGTGGAGAGTGGCGTGAATGGAGGGGAAAAATGGCTAGGGTTTCATTCTTGCATCCTTAATATAACATAATAATACTCATAGATTCCCATTTTACCCTTGCACTTTCTATGAAATTTCATCTATGTCCCTTAGTCAATTACAATAATGTCCTCATTTCCATTGCATTCTCCATGTAATTCTACTTCTTTTCACTCCCCACACTTTCAACTAATTATGGGTGGAATGATCATTTTGCCCTTAAGCAAGTTTTCCAGAATTTTCTCAAAAAATCCAGAGAGTTCTTTGCCCTGGCGAAGTCTGTATTTTCTACCACAAATTTGGGTAGAGAGTTCATTGCCGCAGTGACAAAACTCCTTTGCCGCGATGAAGAGTGAAACTGCCAACTTCAATTCTTTCACCTTGGAATGAGTAATACAAAGGGCATTAAAACATAGAGAGAGTTACATACCTCGATGTGGGTGTTACACTCAATTAAAGCCTAGAAATCACAAAAATTCTCTAAATCAATAGCTAACCATTCACATCTCAAACTTAACAAAAACTAACATCAAAACAAAGAAAACAAATGAGAAATTAACTAAACAGCTATAAAACCAAACCTAAAAACACTAAATTTATGCAACTTATCACATGTCGCCTTCTTCTTTTATGAAGCCTATTACTTTGCTTTCAGCTTTGGCGGCTTCGCTTCAAAACTCATAATTCGAGGAATCAGGTCTGTTCTGGCTTCTTGCGTATATTGTTTGCGAGTGTGTTTGGAGTTTCTTGCAATGTTAGGTCCTCCATAAATCATTCTTACCTTGATGTTGTTAGGCTGCAAGGATTGCTAGTGTTGATTGATTAGTCATTCTGCTTTTCACGAGCTTGGTTTCCCTTCACAACTCTTTCAGATGACCTCTCCTTATCAAGTCTTTGATTGCATCCAGGTTTGGCGATCCTTTGTGTTATGCCCAATATCTTTGTGGAATCTACAATATTTCTACCAATCCTTTCTGTTCGGTAGTCCCCTCATTTTCTCTAGGGGAGGCAATCTTCTAGCCTCATGAGAGACCTAATAAATTTGAGCTACATCCTCTACCAAAGGAGTATAATTTGTAAATAAAGGAAAAGACTTTTGTTCCCAACGAAAATCTGTTCGTTGCCTTTTCTGAAGCCTATACCAGTCCTTGTCACCTAGATCTTGGCCTATTCTTTTGTCCGTTGAGTGATCTTACCACTGGTCAAAGGCTTTTTTCGAGGAGCTGCCCACTAAGGTTGCCAATGAACTTTCAACTTGCTGATGTTTGGCCGACATTTGATAGAATTTGGCCAAACTCACATGATCATCACTTTGGAGCTCTTTCCATAATTCTGTTTGTGGCCTAATTCCAATGATCACTAAGGTCTGGATCAATTCCTCTAGTGCATCTGCAACTTTGGATTGCTCTTTTTGGAACTGTTAGTAAACGTTAGTGTATGCCCTAGAAACCATTCATGTTGTCGATTTTAGAACATTTCTCTTGTATCAATATATCATAAATAATAGAAGAAAGAGTTCTTCAATTCATATATATAAATTGCTTCCTTTATTCAATCATGCATTTAAAATAAAGTATGTATATGAATTGTCCAAATAATTCATTTAATCAGTAAATGAATTTATCAAAAGGTTCCCTACGGAAGCAATATAATTTGGGCAACTATATTGCATAATAGGCATACTAGATGCTTCCAAAAGATATCATGAGTTGATATAAGTTCAGATGACGATGATATAAGTTCAGATGACGATGATAGTCATGTCACTAGGGCATCAGTATGGATTAGCGGTTGGTGAACTATTTTTTGAACGTGACCGAATAACGACAAATCACTTGGAAAAACATGTAGTCAATGATTTATCATTTTGTTATAT